CCTCCCCTGAAGCTCTCTGGCGCCTCCCAGGGGAGGCGCACCTAACACTTTGAAAACCGCTGCTCTAGTCTAAAGCATGATACAGTCATGAAAAGCTGTCATCAGCCATTCAGATTAATTGGAAGTGTTTTTTTCTTCCTTAATTCAACATTTGGTTTCCTAACTTTCCTAACTGAGAAATGCAACCATTCAGTTCTTTGTTCCCTTGAATTGCCAACCACAGGTGCACCGATTTAATTGATTCTGTTCTTTACTGGTTGAGGCACTAAGTGCTCTATTACATGGGGTGGCCAATGTCCAGCATAAATCAAACCACATTTATACTTAAATTGCGTGCCATCAGTTAGACACATTACAAATCCGCCTTTTACTAGAAGTCTACAACACCGAAGAACATTTTTATTGAAGCCATTTTATTTAAACAAACTGAGTTTGCAGAAGGACACTACACACTAGTGCTGCTGAGTATCGGTGCATCTCCACACGTACCAATTGTAATGTATTCAGAACCATTTTAAGACTGATCATGACTGTTGGAGTCTACGATAAACTCTCAAGTAATTCAGTACATTTCTTATGATAGAATTCCCCTGAACTTATTATCATTAGCACCTTCCAATAAGCTGTGTCACCTATATAATCAACATAATGGGATGAAAGACAACACTGGTACAAGGTTTGGCGGTTCAGAATGTTTGTAGCTGCAAAAAGAAACACGGCGTAGGAGCCACCGGATCTTCAGCGAAAGGCACACGTTTCAGGCATATAGATAATGAGTCCTGGTTCACAAAGTTAACGTAGTTTGGCTGGCAACTCGTGTTGCAACATCTGTTTCCTCCAATCAGGTTTCACTTCTGCTGCCTTGCTAACCTATGGCCCGACAGAATGAGGAAGTGGACCTGCTGTTGCATAACAAAGACTTTTCTTCCTGCAAGCCTGTGGTCGCATGTCACCCTCCTTCTGACTTTCATGTGTGTTGGCACACACCTCGCTGTGCTGATGGTGTTGTGGTTCACCAGTGCCTGAGCATGACTTCCTAGATTCCAGATTCGTGAGAACGTTCAACCGTCTGTTTTTAATTTTACATTTGTTTGTGTGTGTGTGTGTGTACCGTAAACAAATGTAAAATTCAAAACAAACGGATGATGTGTGATTGGGTTGGACAGTGTGTTAAACATAAATAACTTGACACATGGTTGTTACTGGGGATGGGTATCGTTAAGGTTTTAACGGTACTACTACCTTTATCGATACCGCTTATCGGTCCTGTCTTTTAACGGTACTCTTATCGGTTCTTTTGGAGAAAACAAATATATATAAACTAACTAAACAAATTGTGAACAAAACTAACATAGCTTTTTATTTAAATTAAATACATAATATTTCACATCAAAAGAAACAACAATGTTTTAACAATTCATATTAAATAATCTGATGACAGAACTGTAAACAGAATAGCTGAAACTTTAGCAAAATAAATAACTCAGTTACCTCTAATCATTAACCCATGTTTGTATAATTGAGTTAACTCTGTGTGTTGCTGCTAGCATACATAACACCTGACGTGGAAAGGTTACTCGTGGACGGGGCTACAGAGCTACTAGAAAGACAGTGNCTATGTTCGATCTGAATTTTCTTTAAAATAAAAAACATCTGTATTGATTCTGACTTTTCTACATCCAACTCACAGGTTTATCATTACTTTGAGAAAAAAGATTATTAATTTTCCCCTTTTAGAAGTGTAGTTATGGTCATTTGTTCTGCATGTTTGAGATTCTAGAATTAGTTGTTTCATATGAAAGATACAAGAAATCGGAAGAAATATGATGAGAAAGTTAAA